ATCGTTTCGTTGTAATATTATTATAGTAAAAGTGAATTTACACGTACTAACATAAATTTACGTTGCAATTGAAGGGGTTAGTGCAAAAAGGGTAAAAATAGCTTGTTTGTGTTGTTGAGTTATTTGATCCTAAAGTTACTTCAACTTTTAAAATTCAACAATAAAATATGAGTTTGTATAAACTGCCAGATGTATGTGAAAATTGTTCATATTTTATTAGAGAAGAAAAGTTTGAATCACGATGCATGGCTACATGCTTTTTCAAAGGTTTTCGCACTTATACCCTTTTTGCGTAAAACAATTTTTCACCACAAAAAAAACTTTATTAAGTAAATACAAGAGAAAGTAACAAAGGTAATCGATAAACGNGTCCGAAACCTGTTTTCTCTCCCATATTCTATTATATCACTAATTTATTTAAAATATCCGCATAATGTGCCCCTATTCTTCCTACATCGGTTTTAAAATTAACTGTTTTATTATTATTTTTTGTTATGAAGATTGACTCAAAATTTTTCATTATTTGTATGTTTTTATTTGTTGTTAATATCTTAGGATTATCGAAATCAAAGTTATGACTTAAAGTTACAGAATGTTGGAACAAAGCTGTTTTGTTTTGAATTTTTATTTGTTTAATATCGTATTTGTGTTGTTGTATTCGTTTTTTAAGATGTTGTTTTGATTCCCCTGTATATATTTTATTACAATCAATGCAATTTAATTGGTATATAGTATCTACTTTATCTAAAGTTTTGATTTTGTCCTTCATGTTTATGGGAGAGAAAACAGGTTTCGGACATAGGAATACAATTGTTATCTGACCTTGTATGAAAATTTCTCTTAGACTTGATTCGTAAGTATGATAAGATGTATCGGAATAAATTTAAGAAACAATTAGTGATAAAAATTGATAATAGTCTTAGGTAAGAATCATATTCTATAAACTAAACAAAAAATCTTTTGTGATAGTGTATGGAGATTGTTTTTCATGTTTGTAGTAGTAATTATGTTATTTTTAATTTAGTAATTCGTGTTTCTTTAGATAAGAGTATTATTAACCTGATGATGGGAACATTTCCCGAAACGTCGTTATAATTGGAGTTTTAGAAATGAAGGAGGGAATGATGTCACAATTTTTATAATAAAAAACTATTATTATTATTATTATTATTATTTATTACGTCCTTTTTAAGCAGTAAAATTTATACTTTTTTGCTGTTTTCTTATGCCAAAATATTCCCCGAAGTCGACTTCTTTGCACAACATTTTGAAGTGTAGTTGCTAACTTTGTACGTATTACTGAAACATTTTAATAATTACAAAAATGTTTTTATCAAGAGAACCCAGTTGACAGGCATATTGTGGAGGTTTTTTTCTAAAGACTACGTAGCATAATAACATTTATTAATTTATTATGGTACCTAAGCTAACTAAAATGTAATATTTTTTTCACTTTTTTTCGAATAACTTTTTTCAACAAAACTTTACCCATGAAACGAAATTTATTACGGAGTTTCATTATTTTAATTTTCTCGCTTGTTGTTAGGTATTTATTTTTTTAATCACTTTTTGAACTTGTTTTCATTTATTTTCGACGAGTGAAAAGCGTTCGCGTGCACTCCAAAGTTTATTATTCGTTCAACGGCAGCGATGGCCAAACGGCCGGATTTGCTGGCGCAGCGTCTCGTATGCAAATTAAAAGTGCGGCGGGCGCATAAAAAACGTCATTACGTTGTTGTCAAAGCTGCGGGATAGCAGACGAAGGACCGAACCTTGACCTTTGTCGGCCTTTACAAAGACACCAACAAATCCCTGCCGATTTTCATCATAAAAAAGAGACCAAAAAAATAAGCTCTCCGAGTATCCCTAATTTTAGTAATTAATTCATAAAATTTTTAATTACTTTAATCTCTACTAATAGGTTTTGAAAGTCAAAGGGAATTCAGAAAAAATTATTATAAAACGTTTTAAAAAAATTGTGGTAGGTGTCATTTTAAATCTTATGAATGAAGCTCTCTTTGAAAAAATACAAGTAAAGTTTTTGCGGTGTTATCTGTAACAAAAGCGTTTTAAAGCTATTGTTACCAGGCCATTAGAGTGGCAGAGAGAGCGAGAGAATGTGGTTTTACCCTGTGGGAATATTCTAAAACCGACAAACTCCCAGCTAATCGTTAAGAAGTCTTTTGGGGTTGTCCGTGGGGGGACAATTAGCCCCCTCTTGGCTTTTACGGGAGTACGGCTTTGGGTATCTGCGAACAAGCTGGACGCTTTTGTCCTATTACGTGTAGGTATTAGAAGTTCGCTTTTATGGAGAGACCAGAATCGTTTAGTGGCGAATGCAAATATCGGAGAACGAACACAATTCGGTTTTAAAAAAAGACCTCGTTCGAAAATTGAGCTAGCTTAAATAGATTAAAAAAATGTATGAGGGGAAGATTCAAGAAGAATGTAGATATACAGAGAGTTTTTGAGACTCGATTATATTTTTTTTGGGGTCGAAAAATTAGCATAGAAAGGTGTTTTTCGCTCGTGGGGAAACTCGAGTTTTGAAAGGGAGCCGACTACGAAATATTCGAAATCTATACAATTCAAAATATGTGAAACGATATGGTAATGTATTCTGGAATTTCTGGCGCAGTCAGCGCGAAGTTTTACCTTTCGGTACGTTGCAAATAAGACGATAAAGAAATGAAAAGTATAAAATGAAACCGTTCATAGTTCGTGTGCGGTTTCGCTTTAAATAATAAAAGTGCAGACATGAAAAAGTTTAAAAAGTTTGTTTTCAGAGTCGTACGGTTGCTGAGTGTCAAACCAACTTTAATAATTTCTTTTAAAAAAATCTTTTATTTCCAACAATTTCAATTTGAAATCGAAATAAATACTATATAAGAAAAGAATTTGTTAATAAAGCTGTATTAAACGGATTAGACTAAATTAGATTAAATTTGTTAAATGAAAATCTGAATTAGCTAAGTTAATTGAAGAATAATTTTATTCTGCCAACTTGTAAACTTAGTATGAGTTGTAATAATTCTGGATCATCCATTATCGTAATAGGAAGTTCTTCTACCGTGAATTTCATAAAACTCGCAATATGGGAATGCAGTACCATAGATAAAAAACTACTATGCACTTGCACTGTCCCACATAAAATGCAACATATTAATAGTACAGGCATTGGGTAGTTTTGCAAAGGAAAAGTTTTGCTTGAAAAAGGTCTAAGTTTCGTCTTAAGGGACGCACGGCTAAACCCGAATGATACTAATTTCAGGTACAGTGTTAGTTCTAGTTTTACATTTGCACTGTTACTACGTAGAACTGACACTATACCTAGAACTATAATCATTTGGATTTCGCCGCGCGTCTTTTATGACGGCTAAACCCGAATGATTCTAGTTCTAGGTCTTGTGTTAGTTCTAGTGATAGTACAAAACTAGAACTAACACTACACCTAGAACTAGACACATTCGGATTTAGCCGCACGTCTTTTAAGACGGCTAAATTGACAAACCCGAATAATCCTAGTTCTTGGCCTAGCGCTGCATAACAATTAAAACTAGAACTGTTACTATGTAGAACCAACACTATACCTAGAACTAGAATCATTTGGATTTAGCCGCACATCTCTAAAGACGGCTAAACCCGAATGATTCTAGTTTTAGATATAGTGTTAGTTCTAGTTTTCACTAGAACTAACATTAGACCTAGTACTAGAAACATTTGGGTTTAGCCGTACGTCTCTTAAGATGGCTAAACCCGAAAGATTCTGGTGCATTCTCTCCTTCCTGCAAATTTCTACGATTTTTAACATGTCTGTCATAATAGTGTTTATATTGTTTTTGGTTATTGATGATTTGAAAATTAGCATCCGTTTTTATTTCCGGCTTCAATAATCTTGTATGTATTGGCGCTTTTGTTCTAGTTCCGGTGCTAGAAATGCTAAAAACGGTGCACTGAAAAAAAAATGTGGGAAAATTACAATGAGATGATTGGTTATTTTTGACCCATCGTTTCGTTGTAATATTATTATAGTAAAAGTGAATTTACACGTACTAACATAAATTTACATTGCAATTGTAAATTTACAGTGTAAAATTATATTACTGATATTGTAAATTGTCATTATTTAGAGTGTAGTATTAGGCTTTTTATTGTAAAAATTCAAATAGAATTGTAAAATTACGTAGTTAAATTACAAGGCAGATTGTAAGATTCCAATTTTTGTAATGTATTCTCACACAAAACATTGTACATTCACTTTTTAAAATTACAATTATGCAATTGTATTACTCCCATCATTTCAAGGTTTCCATAAATAAAACACTTATATTATGTTTACTGTTATTTATTTCAACTACACGACCTATAAACTAAAGAGAAACATAATTGTAACTTTATGAACAACAAAAAATAAAGTATTTTACTAAAACTAATTTATAAACGAAACAGATACAGAATTTAAATTTCTGAAAACCAAAAAACAAAGTATTGCGCTTATATTTGTTTCAACTACACGATCTACACGATATAAACGAAAGAGGAACAGAATTGTAACTTTATGAACAACAAAAAATAGAGTGTTTTACTAAAACTAATTTATAAACGAAACAGAAACAGAATTTAAATTTCTGAATACAAAAAAAAAGGTATTGCGCTAAAACTAATTTAAAAAAACTATAATAATTAATCAAATAAAAGTAATGGAATTACCCAAATTTAAACACTATAGAGTATAAACTAAACTTAGTATTAAGTTATTAAGGCAGTAAAGCGAACCTGCTTTAATATTAATCTGCCATTTCGACAGCACAGCTGACTAAAATGAGATTTTAGAGTATCGATTACAGAAAAGTATTTTGCCAAAGTAGAAATATAGAAAGCGAGAGTATTTTATACATATTGACTTTACACCAAAAATATATATTTAGTTTATAAATCTTTTATAGACTATTATTTATTCAATTTCTTTAGAAGGGATATCATTTTATTTTTTTTAGTACTTACAGAACAGCTTCTTTCTGTGTTACTTTTAAAAAATAACATTGTATAGTTTCTAATAATCCGGATATAACTTTAGGGTACTGTGTATTTTGTATGAAATAGAGTCCAAAACATAACTCAAATGCCTCTATTAGATTATCCACCTCCACGACTTGTTTTTTTTCGATGAAAACTATGAAACTCCCAGCTAAAGGAATAAGGAAGTTAAACAGATAAAACATAAGTTTCGTCGTGTAATTGTAAACACGAAAAATTATTTTCATACCTATCTCCGCAACGCATGGCGTTAAGATCATCATACTGCTTTCAATTTCTTCTATGTTGTATTCCTAAAAATAATAAAAGTTTAGCTAAATTTTACAAAATATATAAAATTTGTATTTACTTCAAATTTATATAGAATGTGCTCTATTTTGTCTTTGAAATATTTCGCAATAATTTCTAAAGCTAAGCGATCATTATTTGTCGTATTTAGTTCATTATATTGAATAATTACTAGCATGCTAGTTCCACATCAGTATTATCTTCAGAACATTTCTTAAGAATCCTCTTTGCAGTCTGGACTGCTTGCTCAGCTTGTCCATTGCTTCTTGGATATCTAAGAGAACTCGTTACAAATTCAAAATTCTTGCTTTTTGCGAACTTTCTCAATTCAAACGTACTAAATGGCATGTTATCACTGATAACTTGTTTTGGAATTGCAGGAACAGAGAATAGTGATTTAAATCTAAATGTCATTTCTTCTGATTTTTTTCTTTTCAATGGAATAAGTTCAAGCCACTTTGAATAATATTCTTGAATAACAAGATAATCTTTATTGTTTGAAGTTAAAATATCACATGCCAACTTATTAAACGGTATATCCGGTATGTTATGTACAATTAAAGGTTCTTTTACATTCGAATTTCGATACCTTTTACAGGTTGTGTATCTTGAGATCAAATTCTCAATATCAGTTATTAAACCTGGCGATTAGACAGCCTCTCTTGCTCTTGCTTTGGTTTTCTGTATGCCCAAATGTGATTCATGCAAAAGTAGTTTTACACTTGCACTGTCACTAGAACTAATATTAGACCTAGAACTAGAAACATTTGGGTTTAGCCCTACGTCTCTTAAGACGGCTAAACCCGAATGATTCTAGTTCTTGGTCTACCGCTGCGTAACAATTAAAACTAGAACTAACACTAGACCTAGAACTAGAAATATTCCAGACGCACGGCTAAACCCGGAACTTTCTAGTTCTAAGTCTAGTGTTAGTTCTAGTTTTACACTAGCACTATTACTATGTAGAACTAACACTATACCTAGAACTAGAATCATTTGGGCAAACTAGAACTAACACTAGACCTAGAACTAAAAAGTTGCACATCTCTAAAGACGGCTAAACCCGAATGATTCTAGTTCTAGGTATAGTGTTAGTTCTACATCATTTGGGTTTAGCTGCACGTGTCTAAAGACGGCTAAACCCGAATGATTCTAGTTCTAGGTATAGTGTTAGTTCTAGTTTTATACTTGCACTATCACTAGATCTAATATTAGACATAGAACTAGAAACATTTGGGTTTAGCCGTACGTCTCTTAAGACAGCTAGACCCGAACGATCCCAGTTCTTGGTCTAGCGCTACATAACAATTAAAATTAGAACTAACACTAGAGCTAGAACTAGAAAGTTTCGGATTTAGCCGTGCGTCTTCAGACGTCATAATAATGATGTTCAAAGAACTTTAAAAAAACTTAAATTTAAATAAAACGGTAAATTAAACTAGAGGTGTTGTTATATGAAAGGTTTAAAAGAGACCACTTTTCCTCTTTAATAGTTTTACGTTAAGCAATTTGAGACGTTTCGGGATCACCTCCCATCTTCAGTCAACAACTAATTACTCATAATCATATCTCAAATCTTGATGTGATGTTTTAAGAAACACCATTTTAAAATTATTAAAAAATAATAATATTAAGAAAATATAATACAACCATTTTAATATTATTTTGAGTGAGAGAAGTGGTCTTTTTTAAACCTTTTAAATAAAAATGTTAAAATTTTTGTTAAATTGGATTTTTGTGTTAGATTAAATAATTTGTCTGTTTTCGTTGAACATTAAGTGCTATGAAAATAGAGAACAATAAAAAAATTAAATTAAAATAATAAAGTGTTTATATAAAATGTTCTATAAAATAGCAGTTGTAAAAAAATCCTATTTATTCAGCTTAACACCCACCGATATTTTTTGCATGATTTTTTTAAAGCCCTTGCTAGCTTTAACAAGTTAAAATTTAATTAACTTTTTTTCGCATCTTTCTCCAACAAATTCCATCCCAAACGACAAAAAAAATATAATAATAAAACCTTTTTGTTCCATTTTAAAGTAAATCAATATCAATTAGATTTTAAAACAATTTCTTTTGAATAACACTGTAGTTACTTTAATGTTGATTTGCTTTCGTTTTTCGTTTCACCTATTTGAAATTAATCGGAAAACTACGTTACCTCATCAACTAATTACGTACCCGGGCGCAATAATCTCGTGGAGTAACGCAACGAGGAAAAGTTTTCACTGCAAAAGTTCCTTTTATATCGAAGAAGTTCCCTTATACCTCCGGTTCTCTCTCCCAATTAGAATAAAAAAGCTATTTTCAGGAAGTTTCAGTTATTTCGCAAGGGAACTTCCGCGAACAAACAGGGATTAACAATTTAGCAGTCGCGCCGTGGAGTGCTTCCTTGTGTATAATTCAATTTCAACCGCTTAACATCTGCATTTATATCCAAAAAAAGCCCTCACATCCATTTTGTCCTCGAGAGACCCTCAAATATTTACCCAACTTAAACGTTTGTACAAGAAAAATATGCTTTAACTAGAAAACGGATAATAAAATCTGATAAAAGCTTTGTTTAAACCAGTTTAAGTAAGTTCGTCGATTACGAAACGATGGTTACAGCAACCATGCGTTTGACGCGAAATAAATGAACCATGTAATGCTTTTAAACTTTAACGGATATTAATGGACGACGGGTGACAAGTCTGCGCACGTTTGCGTGTACACTGCCAGAAAATCGGGTTCGAAACTAACACTCCAAAATGTTACATTAAACTTTGGTCATCGTGAAAATGAGAGTTTATTAATAATAAATTAATTAATTTTATGACTAAAGCGGAATATAATTTGCTGGTTAATATTAACGATTATAATTAAAAACGAATTATTAATCTAGTTCAAAGTGTTATTAAATAAAAATTAACATAAAATTAATTGTTTGAGTAAAAGCTTAAATTATATTGGAAACCAATGCAAATTTAATAAAAATTTCTTTTCACAAACCGTTTGATATTTCATTTAAAACTTTTCATAAACAAAGAAACTTAAAGTTCTTTGAACGGAAATTAAACGTGATCAAAGCTAGAAGACGCTTGTTTGCAACCTAAAAGAAAAAAAATCTAGAAAAATATAATCAATGTGGCACAACGTCGTCCCCTGTAATTTGTAACTTTGTTAATTTAAAGTAACGGGCGCACAAGCAATTATCGCTAATTAAAATGGCGAGTAGAGGTGGCGTTATGAATAGAGTTGGGGTACATTTAATTTTCGGACCCTAAATCAACTCCCTCATGCAAACACCGGTATTATTTCAATTTAAACATCACACATTTCAATTCTACATTATTTCTAATTAGTATCAATGTAACGACAAACCTAAACAGGATTCGCTAACAGTTTCCAGTAATGAATTAAAGTTTACTAAACAATGTTCGAGTCGGACTAACTCTAATCAGTAACCATTAATTTAATCAACAATTGATATTTTTTTGGTTACAATTCGTTTTTAATTTAATTAGGATTAATGTAATTAGGTACGATAACAATAATAATAAATTACAACTTGAGTTATTCCTGAAGATTGAGCCGTTAAATCGAAACTTTCTACTTCTAGGTCTAGTGTTAGTTCTAGTTTTAATTGTTATACAGCGCTAGATCAAGAACTAGAATCATTCGGGTTTAGCCGTCTTAAGAGACGTACGGCTAAACCCAAATGTTTCTAGTTCTAGGTCTAATGTTAGTTCTAGTGCTAGTCCAAGTGTAAAACTAGAACTAACACTATACCTAGAAGTAGAATCATTCGGGTTTAGCCGTCTTTAGAGACCTGCGGCTAAACCCAAATGATTCCAGTTGTAGGTATAATATTAGTTCTACATAGTAACAGTGCTTGTGTAAAACTGCAACAAACACTAGACTTAGAACTAGAAACATTCGGGTTTAGCCGTATATTGTTAGTTATACATAGTAACAGTGGAACTGTAAAATTAGAACTAACACTATACCTAGAACTCCGGCAGAATGGACTAAGGTACGGGTGTCTTACATACCCAAAGCGTACTCCTAATGCCTTTCGATCCATCAGCCTAACGTCATTTCTGCTGAAAACCCTTGAAAAAGTTCTGGAACGGTATATCCGTACGGTGCCATTGGTATCTGGTCCACTGAGTCGCCACCAGTATGCTTATCAAGCGGGAAAATCAGCAGAATTGGCTCTACACAACTTAGTTGGTAGAGTATCCAGGACGCTGCAGGATAAAGAAATCTTGGTTTGTGCGTTTCTGGATATAGAGGGAGCGTTCAACAACGCAATACCACAATCTCTTGAAAGAGCTGCTCTTGACAGGGGAGTGGAAGCAACTATAGCGGGTTGGATCCGCAATATGCTAGATAGTAGAATAGTTTCTACTTCACTCCACGGTGATACGATACGCTTCAGGCCGGGAGGTGGCTGCCCGCAGGGAGGGGTGTTATCTCCCCTGCTTTGGTCCCTCCTAGTTGACGATCTGATTGCGATAGTCGAAGCCGTTGGTGTGGAAATACAAGCTTATGCTGATGACATTGTCGTTATGGTCAAAGGAACCTGTTTGCCGAGGATATCTAAAGTCCTCCAGGTGACCCTAGATACCATTTGCGCTTGGTGTAAGGGAGAGAACCTCTC